TATTCTATTATATGCCTTCATTGAAAAGATTTGGGTATGGAGGTAGGAAAATAGGAATTCTTGGATTGGCACTGCATCTCAAAATATGACTTTATCTTCCACTAATCATTTATTCCTAATCTATTAGCATGATGATAAATTCAAATAATTGCTCTTGAGACAGGTTAAATAAAAATTTTAAAGTAATTAGTTACTGAACTATCACAAACAGTAACCTTACTATGACTTAAATAGGTGAAGAATATTAATAATATTTCATATCTGTATTTCAAACACAATGAAATAAATAGAATAATTTCTAATAAGGTTAAGAAAACTCATTTGTGGTTAAATTGAAGTATCAAATTAGGAATTTTAGGTGAATATCCACACTGTCAATTTAAGAACCTTTTTCAACTATAAATGTCACTCAACAATTATATAAAATCACCTATATGGAGGGAATTTATCACTTGGCACATACTTGAAGTCAGTGGCTACTACTAGATCAGAAATGTTTGTTATTCACAGAAAAAAAATGATAGTTACTTCATCTATGTATACTAAAATTAAATTTCTATGTCTTTGAGTTGACAAGAATGGTTGCTTCCTTTATATTTTCTTTGTGTTTCATTATTATTTTATTGAACATTACTGTTCTAGTTGTTAAAATTCTTGATTATCATTTCATGTTGGATGATTGATAGATGGAAAACACTACTGTACTTTTGTTTTGGAAATGGGGTCTTACTATATTGCTCAGACTGGCCTCAAACTCCTGGGCTCAAGTGATCCTCCTGCCTCAGCCCCTCAAATATCTGGAACTACAGATGCGTAACACTAAGCCTGACACATTGCACATTTGTGTACATTCTTTTATTGTGTTAACAGACTAGATTATTCTTATACATTCTTTGGATTAATTTTTCTATATTCACAAGCTTATCTTTCTGCATGATATTTAAATCATTTACCCAAATTCCAAGTTCTTTAAGTATAATTAATTGACTACAATTAATTTAAGACTTTAATCTGTCAAATGTGTAAGATTCTTTTTAATTATAATTATTAAGTTGTAGTAATTGTACAAATTAATAGGTTTCACTGTAACTGTGGCATTTCCATACATGGCTATATTGAGCTTTGATCATGTCCACCCTCCCATCTCCTACCCCTTTGCCCCAGATCTCCTTCCTGATTCCTAATCATCCCCTTTTCAGGTCATCTTTCTTGTTGTTTTGGTTGCTTCTTTTAGAACAGTGGTTTTCAAATTTTGATTCTCTTTAACAAAAATACATATGATAGATAATATTCAAAAGTTCCACCCAACACAATCAGTTCCAATTGTTCCCTAAGGCCTTCTGCATAAACAAAAGAAGGTACCAGTTATACTTGAATCAAAGCCTGTGCTCAATAGAATGACATCCCTTTCTCTTTTACTGACTTATATGTGAATTGAGAACCACTAACTCAGATTTGATCTACAATAGATATAAACAATTTGAATCTGATGTGTACTTGAAAGAGGGCCATGTATAGGAAAGCACTTCCAGGATATTGGGAAGTTTCATTACTCTCAGAGTATTCCATCACCATCTGTGAACTTGTGCATGAAATCGTGCAATATTTCATTTAAAAGCAAACAAATTTTCAGCTGATAGGACTTAGAAGCACCAAAACCCTAGAAGAAATGAGTACACCTAACACCTGAATCTTGATTTCTAGTGCTATTCTCTATTAAAGTGAATCAGGCAGGGCTCTTGGGAAAATGGATAATTCTCTAATTCTCAGCCTGAGGCAGGAAATACACAAAATAAGCTGGAAACACTTTTTGGTAATGTAAGAAATGCTGCAAAAAAAAAAAAAAAAAAAAAGCAAAATAGCTGGTTGCAGTGGCACACGCCTGTTATCCCTGCTACTTGAGAGGCTAAAGCAGGAGGATCACAAGTTTGAGACAAGCCTGGGAAACTTAGTGAGACCCTCTCTCAAAATTTTAAAAACTAATAAAAATTAAAAGAGCTGGGAATATAGGTCAGTAATTCAGCACCCCTGGGTTCATTCACAAGTACTACAAAAAATAAAAGTAAGCAAAACAATCCCAAATTGATGGGGTTATAACAAAGGAACAAAAAAGCCAATGAAAGAATTCCCAATGGGCAAATTTGAGAGATTTGGAGCAAGAAAATAAAATAGAATTGCATTATAATCCAATGCATTATATAAATATCCATGAGTCCATACTAATAAAACTAAATGATTGAATAAATAAATAAATACAGAAGAAAAGACAAATCTCCCCATGCAAAAGAGTTATAGATAATTCTTGTAGATATTCCACCCTGAAAGAGGTAGAACACAACTCCCCACCCTCAACTGTAAACTGTGAATAATGACTTTCTTCCAAAGACTACAGTATGGAAAGAAAGGCAAAATCAGCAACTTTACAGTGAAAAAAGGCAAATGCTATCTCAAGCCGGGTGATCAAGGTTAACATCAACAGTAATAAGTCATATTGATCCATTCCACCCTTGATACAATGTGTTGAGAATGGTATTTTACGTTTACAGACTTCCTCTGCAAAACACATTATCCCAGTCTAACCATGAGGAAAACACCAGACATATTTCAACTAAAACACATCTGACTGATATACCTCAAACATTCAAGGTTATCAAAAACAAGGGAAGTCTGATGAATTGCCACAGACAAAAAGAGCTTAAAGGAGACATGACAACTACATGGAATGAGGTATTACAGATGAGATCCTGAAACAGAAAGGGATATTAAGGAAAGACTCAGGAAATACAAAGAAAGTATTTACTGTTGAACAGTATACCACTATTACATTTGTTCATTGGTTCATTAGTTGTAATAAATATATCATAGGCAATGTGAGATATTAATAAGAGTGAAGAATATACAGAAACTGTACTTTCATTGAAATAATTCTGTAAATCAAATTACTCTAAAGCTTAAAAGTACATTTAAAAATAAATAGGGAATTTTTGTTATAGCACTTTTATACACATAAAAATCTGTAAACAAAGTGTATATTCTTCAATAGGAAAATTAATATTTCAGTTGTGGTATTATAAAATATTAAGCAACACAGAATATTATACACTAAAAAAAAGAGTGAGTGAGCTCTCAAATGACTTGGAGAGATTACTACTAAGTTTATTTTACTAAGAAAATAAAATGCCGAGAAATATATAATCCTGCTTTTATTTTGTAAAACAATGAGGAGAATCTCCATGTAAAATGTTTGTGTAGTTTTTTAAAAAGTAAGGAAAATGCATGTAATGTTCACACTAAGTTGTTATCATTGCTAGGAGTAGGAGAGTGGTTTAGAGGGGGGAGGGAAAAAGAGGAGAGGTATCTAGACTGAGGACATAAGTAGGGCAGAGGAAGTAAGCAATAATTAGTTAATTGACTCATTATAAACCTGTGCATACTGAGTTAATGCTTTGCAAATAAACATTAAATTTGTGAAAACAACAAACAAAAGCAATAGAGGTAGGTGGAGAGAAAGGGATCTTTTTGATTGGCAGATTGTGCAGTGAGGATGGAGGATATAAAGGGTGTGACTGAAATATAGAGGGTGTGTCTGAAATACAGAGGATGGAGGATATAGAGGGTGTGACTGAAATTCAGCTATAGTGACTGAAACTGTATTTTCTAGGGTGGTGTTACACCCTAGAAAAAGAGTAACACCACCCTAGAAAATACAGTTTCAGTCACTATAGCTGAATTACACCTACTTCTCAATTTTGCCAAGAGCTGCACACTAAGGGTGTGATGAAAATAATTGATGCTTCTGCCAAAATCCTGGGGATTTTTTCTACCTCAAACAGACACTGAACTTACCATTTGTTCTTCCAACATTCCCCTCCCTACATTAAAGTGATTCTTAAGGCATCAAGAAGGTTCTCAATTTTATACACCACCTTGTTCTCCTGCCCTTTAGAACAATGAGACCTCACCAGGCAGTTCCAAGTGTTTTTGATGAAGAAGTGACATAGCTTTGGCATCAAAGTCCACAGGAGACAAAAATAGGGTCTGTATTTTCAAAAGTTAAAATCAAATAGTAGAGTTCAGATCCCTGTTGAGCAAGATCAGAGACTCTCAAAACGGCAAAATTGAAAGGTGATTTAAAGGTCATCTCAGCTATCTACTTCAATACCTAATCCAGTCTCTATATGAGATGCTAGATCCTAGATTCTAGTACTGGGATAGAGAGGGGGAAGGGAAGACATATTGTACAATCCCTAAAGATAAAACAGATTGCTTTTCACTGTAAACTTCTTGCAAGCAAGAATTTTGTCTGTGAAATCTTCCCAGTATAGCACCTAGAAACTCAGGTTGGCTGTGTGTTTACAGAGATCTGTGCTGAATATTTAGACACAGTAGAAACAAACTCACATTGAAAATTCTACAAAGGATATTAACAGTAGCTCTTTTGCTAAGAGGCCTCCTAGCAGCATTGGAGTTATTTTCCATCAACAAGGAAAGAGAGACCTTGGCCTAAAAATACTTAACATCATTTTCATGGCCAGCTATCAAGATCATTGAGCCAATTGGCTCTATGGAAAAGTAATTACTCATATAAGACCCTGGGGCAGGGGTGGAGTTGGAAAAGAAAAGAGGCACACAATTTTCTATATTAAATAAGCACACACAGTACTTTATGATAATTTGATACAAATTTGCTGCATATTTTCAATAGGTAATTAGAATTGAATTTACTGAAGTACTCCATGTCCTGTAAGCTATTTTTAAAATTTTTTTTAGTTGGACACAATACCTTTATTTTATTTATTTTTATGTGGTACTGAGGATCAAACCCAGCATCTCACACATGCTAGGCAAGCACTCTACCACTGAGCTACAACCCCAGCCCCATCCTGTAAGCTTTTAAGAACATATCCACCATATACTGTGAGGTACATCTGCGTATACTCCAGTCCTAATCAAAAGACTATCAGCCACATGATTGAGTAATATTTTCACATGATACTTACCTTAAAACACAAGTGTAAAATCCACTGTCTTGTGCCTCAGCTGAGTGAAACCATATTGAATCTTCTTCTTTGCTCATCCTGACCTCTGAAAAGATGATGGGCTCTTCCAAATCACCTTTGTTTTTGTACCACATAAGCCTGAGCCCAGTGCTTTGGGCCATGCTGTAGTTGGTACGAATGTAACTGTAGAAAAGGGCACATTTCACTCGAACTGGTTCACCTGCCAAAGCCATGTATGTCTTGAGATCCACTGACCAGTCAATGCAGCCATCCACTGAAATGAAAACCAGATGAGTCATGAGATTCAGTGTGCATGTTTGGTAATAATGATAAGAGCAACCATCATTGCCATCATGTACTGAGAACTTTCTATGAACCAGGTACTGAGTCAAGTTCTTTACATAGATTACTTTATTAAACCTTCTCAGTGACCCTATGAGATAGACCAGTATCTTTCTTAGACTATATCAAATAGGACCCTGCTCTAGCTCTGTACCTCTAGGTGGTGTTGTTGTTTTTTTTTTTTTTTTTCCAATCAACTGTAGCAACCTTCAACTTGGTAATCAAGATCCTCCTAGGAGTTCTAGCACTCATACAAACAAGGTTGTTCTGAGATCTCCCAGCCAGATCCCAATTCCAGCAGAGTGTCTGGGCAACTGAATTGCTCCTACTAGCTATTGAGTATTTCCTTTGCAGAGCCATGTGAAATTGGGCTGCTAGAATAGCAGTGATGTATTGCTCTTAGGTGACTCAAATAATTTATTATGCAAGAGTCACACAAAGCAAATATTTCCAAGAGGTTCCAGCACAGTCTAGGAACAGGACTGAGATAACAGTGGCATTCTTATTTTACTGATGAGGACACTGAGACTCAAATAAATTAAATGACCTTACCCAAGGTCACACAGCTACTAAATGGTGGAAAACCCGTCTCTGATTGCAGGGACTATATTCTTAACTAGTGTATACTGCCTATGCCTATAACCGTAATGAGAACCAATTTGTTATTTAGCTGACTTTGAGATAGTAATGTTGGGGTTAGAAGGAGTGGGCACCTAAAGTGATTATTTGTTATCAAATGCATGTCATTTTTCTATGGTATGAAGTATTAATAGTAGATATTTAACCACAGGTCAATTTCTCTTTATACCCTTAGGTTTCCCTTGCTGCTTAGCTGGTGTGTGCTCATGGGAATATATTAGATTAATGCCAGCTTTAATCAAATAATATTAGGTGGGTAAATCTACCTTTAAAGAAAGTCATATATAGAAAATTTGCTCTTTACCAGAAAGGCTAGAAATGAGACACTGCAGCTAATTTAATATGGTAGTCAATATAATTAGCATAGATATTCTTCCTCTGATTGCTTATTTTTGAAGAATTTCATCAAATTATGCTACATCCTTTTATGTTACTTGATTACTGTTTATAAATTAATCATTTCATAAAATGTATAAACACTGCCATTTTAAAATTACAAGTTTTGCTTATAATTTTGTGAACTGATCGGCTTCCCTTTTTAGATGTTGAGAACTTAGTAACCCAATGTGTTTAACTTTTTCACCTCAGTTGACAGGAAGTTGAGAGCTAAATGTAATGCCCAAGTGTAATAACCATCATACCTCAGGATTTCACTTTCTGTATGTGAAGGATTATTGAACCAGGGTTTAAGAACTTCCAGGAGAAAGATACATGAATAGACTTCAGGTTGTTGGCAAAATAATTGTCTATTTGCAAAGATATACCATTTTGAGGAACTTTTCTATAGCCTAAGAATTTTTTTGAACTCCATAGTTTCTGATCTTTTTTTCTGACTTGATTTTTCTCTTCGCTGCTGCAAATGTGCTTTTTATTATAAGTTGCCGGAATTGTTAATATAATATGTGAAGTATTCATTAGAAGTAAATACTAGATTCAAAAAACTCATATTAAACTTATACTGAAGGGTATATAAAACTTCTTTGAGTATTCAGAAGTACCAAATTCATCACTATGGATTTTAATGTCCACTGTTTACTGTTAAAGCCAAGAAGATATAGATTTGACTAAATATATACTGATAATTGGCTATCTCTTGGGGTCCTTTTTATTCTCCCCTTGGTTTTGGCTTGTTTACCTATGATTTGTCAATCTTATCACTCATGAACAGAGAGGGAAATTTGAATTAATTAAACTTTGGGGGGTTAAAGTAAATTACTGAAAACATATCTCTAGATGCAATTTTAATATTTATTTTATCATTTTGAAATGAATTTTGTCTTATTCCTTCTTATGGATTATCATGAAACTGTTCACATGCATTTAAATAACTCAGAGGACAATGGTGGAATTTTTTTTTAGGAAATGTAACTTTTTCATAGATGGATTTTAAAAGTTGATTAGTGGAAACAAAGAAAACATGGAGACAATAAAAAAGAGAGCCATGTTCTATTTCTCATTCTCTATAAACCCTAAGATGCACAGTAATTGTTTTTGAATCAATAAATTAGACTTGGAAAAATAGCTTATACCTCTATAGTTATTTATTTGATAGAAAAAAAATCGTCTTGATTTTTTTTTCATTTGCTCCCTAAATTCCTTTAATTCCTTCTTCTGAACTGTTACATCTGAACTATCTACACTTTTACAATGTTAACAAACCAGTTTGGCCCATAAGTGATGAGACATTATTGGTATTGAAAATAATCAAAAGGGTATATAAAACTTCTGCTACTGAGTTACAACAATTATGCTCAACAAGAGTTTGAAGCATTTAACTGCTCTTACAATTAGCTTTTTCATATAGACCTTGAGAGTACACTGAGAATTCATTTTCTTTTAAGTAGCATCTAAGCAACATGCATTTGATTTAATAGATTTATACCTTCTTTTTTTCTTCTGTTACCTTGTCTTAGGTATCAGAGAGGGTGTACTTGGAGAACACAAACCAGTAATGGGGAACATGACTTCTAAATGTTATCCCCTTTATTATTTTTTCTTTCTTAGTATTTACAGTACAAGGTTATGCCATAGGTATTTAGAGAGACTGAGAGGGTTTTTCCCATTAAATAGTTAAAGGATATGATATCAAGGATCTATGAAGGCCCATATATAAGCAAATATTTTGCCATACTAAATTTCCACTAGTAGAATTCCATTTCTGTGAGCTAACTTTCTAGCTAAAGAATATTAGATCCCTAGTAGATTCTAAAGAATTGATATGATCTATTTATTTTGTATTGCTATTCTTAGCAATCTAACTAAGTAGCAAGAATGGATGTAATAAGATAGAGTACACTTATTTTCAGATTTGGGACTACTGAAGCAACTAAGAAATATAAACTGAGTTGAGAGGCCTGAAAAGTCAGGTAAAAAGCCAGCATAAAGAGCTTGAACATTTGGGTTTAACCAGGATGATCTGAAAGAGATCAGAGGGTCACAAAAAAAGGAAAGAAGAGGTAAAAGGTCACATACAACTGAATTTACCAAGTGCCATCACAAGTCACAAAACCATGTCACATTTCTTTCTTTTTTTATTGGTTATGTTTAATTTCTAATGACAGTAAAATCCATTTTGACATAATTATAAAAAGCATGGAATATAATACCTCAGTATCTCTCCTTCCCCTCCTCTGCCCCACCACCAACTTCCTTCCCTTTACTGATATTTCTACTATTTACCCATATATTTTTAAAAATTAATTTCTTATGGATGTGTAAGGTCAGATCCATTGTGGTATAGTCATATATGTACATATGAAAATTTTGTCCTTCCATTGTCTTTCCTTTTCCTATCCTTCACCTTTCCCTTCATTCCCCTTTGTCTAATCTCTGAACTTCTATTCTTCTCCCCTCACCCTTATTGTGGGTTAGCTTCCATATATCAGAGAAAACATCCAGCCTTTGGTTTTTTGGTATTGGCATATTGCATTTAGCATGATAGTTTCCAGATTCATCTGTTTACGGGAAAATGTTATAAAGTTATTCTTGTTTATGGCTGAGTAATACTCCATTGTGTTATATACCACATTTTCTTTACCCATTCATGTGTTGAAGGGCACCTATGATGGCTCCATGGCTTAGCTACTGTGAAGAATTGTGCTATAAACATTGAATAATTGTGCTATAAACATTGATGTGTCTGCGTCACTGTAGTATGCTGATTTTAAGTCATTTGGGTATAAATCAAGGAGTGGAATAATAGAGTCAAGTGGTGGTTTCATTCCTAGTTTTTTTAGGGATATCCATACTGCTTTCCAGAGTGGTTGCACCAATTTGCAGTCCCATCAGCAATGTATAGTACATCTTTTTCCCCACATCCTCATCAACATTTATTGTTACTTGTATTCTCGATAATGAGGAGCTTGTCACACTTTCAGAGCCTTTTGCCTGTGGACTTTCCATATCTGTGTGGCAAATAGCTGAATGAAAAGATTTGTGATACTGCTTATGAAGGTGAAGGTTATGGCAAGGACGGTGACATAATGGAACTGAGCAGTTCACAGAAGAAGCCCAATGGTGAGCTTGACCTCAGCAGCACCGGCCTCCAACCAACAGAGCCATTCAACCCTATTCTGTTCACAGCTTCAGTGGCAGCTGTGGCAGCAGGCCCCCAACAGGGCTCCTGAGAAAAGTGTTTTCCAGATAGATTTGCTTCTCCCCCAGGTGATTTAATAAGTGATTCTCACTGATCTGCTACATGTGTAAACAGAATCACTACAGGATAGGGGAGTTTTCCACACAAAAGGTGAAAGTCTGAGGCTTTCCCCCCCCCCACACACACACACACAAATGGTGAAATTCTGTAGAAGCATCCTACAGAACAAACACATTGAAAATACAAGTGCTTGAATACTTCCCCTCTGCTTAATAATCACTCAGTATAGTTACAAATATTCCTGTTCTACCATTAAAAAAAATACCTCCAGGGCTGAGGGTATAACTCAGTGGTAGAGCACTTACTTGGCTAACATATGCAAGGTCCTGGGCTGGTGACACGCACTGCAAATAAAATTGCATACAATTTCATTGTGGCTACTGAAGTCTAACTAACCCATATAAAAATAATATCTCCTAGATAATGCTAAGTGAAGTTAGCTAATCCCCCAAAAACAAATGCCGAATGTTTTCCCTGATATAAGGAGGCTGATTCATAGGGAGGGGGAGCACAGGAGGAATAGACAAATTCTAGATAGGGCAGAGGGGTGGGAGGGGAAGGGACCTACCTGCAGCAAGGATGGTGGAATGTGATGATTCATTACTATCCAAAGAACATGTCTGAAGACATGAATTGGT